GGCGCGGCATCCCCGTTGATAACACGGCCGGTGACTCATCATCGCCGTCCTGGCGTCTGCTCGGCCCCGCCGCGCCGCGTGATTATAGTGCCCCCCGCGCAAACGCCGCCCGCACCGCCGTTTCTCCTGCCGTCGGTGGACCGGACGGACACGGCCAGCTGACAGGCACGGACAAACGCTGACACCAGCGGTGCCACCGCCGCCGCCTTGGGTCGCGCGCGCGGCCGGGAAGGGGAGGGCGGGCGGCCGTTGGTCAGGCAACCCAACACACAGCCGTGCGGGCAGGCGGCCGGCGCACAGGCGCGCCCGCCGCCCCCGCCGAGCCGCCGGCGCCACTGCCCGGCCCGCGTGACGGTCGCGGAGGAAGGTAAATACAATAAAGGACGCCTTTGCGACTACGCTGCGGCTTATCAGCAGGGGTAGGGATGCCAGGCCAGGATGTTTGAGCTCGATTCTTGCGGTTATCCGGCGCCTCGGCGCCTCGTGCGTCACGTCTCGCGTCTCTCTTGTCCTCCTGCTCACCTCCACGGCCTGGCAGGCCCTGTGCGAACCGCGCCCACGCCCCAGAGAACGTGATACTTGTGGCTAACGATGTCCAAGCACCGGCGGCGGCCGCGCCGGCGGTTGCACTTTCTGCCTCCAAGGTAACGTGGGCGTGGGGTGCGGGGCGCGGGGTGCGGGGCGGCAGGCAGTGGGTGGGTTGGGGTGAGAGCCTCACACTCTCCTTGTCCCAGGCCTCGCCTCGCTGTCCCATGCAATATGGATACTCTCCGCCTGTGCTGGAGCGGTGACCTTTTCCCCCTCCTTTCCCCACGCCCTTCGACCCCAAAGATACAAGGGCTCGCGGGCCAACCACACGCGGTAAAGGGAAACCAAGGCACCGCGCGGCCTCTAGCCTCGGCCTGGTCTACTAGGCTAGGCCGGCCGTTCTACAAAATAAAAATCGATGACTCCAGTGGTGAGCGCGGTTCACGCCCTCCCACCGGCGAGCAGGTGGTCTGGGCGCACCGGGGGGTGCGTGTGCAGGAGAAGTAGGACGCCAACGGTGAGCCGCCGACGAGACAGCCGCAGGAGCTCACCTCGGTCGAATCCTCGCCGTTGCCGCCATTCGCGGCCCCGGCTCCGGCATTGGTATTGGTGCCGCAGTACCTCGCAGTACTGCGGGGCCGAGGCATCGGCGGCGTCCTGGCGGCTCGCATGTCTCCAAGTGGCGTGGTGAGCAGAAAGACTCCTGCACCGCCTTGGCCGAGGCCCGCGGTGGTCGCGGTGAAGGCCCTGGACGGCGAGCCCGTGCCGGAGGACGCGGTCCTGGACGCGGTCGCGGCGCTGCGGGCCGTGCGCACGACGAGCACCCGCACGGGCAGCAGCATGGTCCGGTCAGCGCATCATATTCATCACGCCCGGAAGAGGCTGACGCTGGGCAAGGCGTGGCGCGCGAACGGGTCCAGGCCGTGGCGGATGATGACGAGGAAGCGGGAGAAGCGGACGCTCAGGCAGAGCGAGTCGGCGCGCCGGCGACACGTGCGGCAGCTCGGCCCGGCGTCCTCTTCGGAGCAGTCGGAGCAGGGCACGAGCTGGTACACCGACATGGCCCTGAGTCACCGCCCCGGCGAGCCTGAGTCACCGGGGTGGAGGGAGGGCCGTCCCTGCTAGCGACGTTGTAAGTGGCAAATCGCCCGAGCGAATCGGCCCAGATCGTGTGCTGAGTGGGATGCGTGGCCGCGGCAGGGCAGGCCGGGCCCCGTGAGTCACATCAGACCACGGCGCTGCGCGGGCGCGGCCACTGACATAACGCGGGTGTCCTGGCCCGGCGAGCTCGACGCGGACCTGGCCAGCGCGGATCATCGACTGGTGGCAGCGATACGGCCGGGGGTCGGAGTGCGCTGTGGCCAAGTGGGGCGGCAGTCGGACGGGCACTGAGCTGCCCCTGCCGCAGGGCCCCCGCCGGGCC